TGCATTTCCTCTCTGTATGTGTCGCAGTGAATTAGCGCATGTGTTGGTGACGTTACGGAGCCACATGTGTAGTATTTGAGGTCGGAGATGCTGTGTTTGTGTAGGTATTGTGCGAAGTCGCCGTGTTCTGAATAAACTGTGTTGTGTAGTGATTCACGTGTAGCCATGTCATACTCATGCTGTCTCTGACGTCCGGCAGCATGGTAAAGGCGTGTCTCCCTCCTTCCGAGGTTTCCCATCGTTGTTGCCATTGCTGGAAGAGGTGGATTTTTATTTCCTGTATTATCGCATCCGGGTTGATGTCCTTCGGGAAACTGCGGTCCTGTACTTGAAATAAGATTCCTTTTCTTACCTTGTACCTGAGTGTTGCTTCCTGTATTTTAAGATCTATTGATAGTTCCCCCGCGATGACTGGCAACGCCATTGTGGACATTGTTCTATAGGCTTTCGTTACTCTGAGAAGGGCATTCCTTTGGGCTGTCTTGCTATGTTGCCTTTCGTGAGTTTGTCGCTCCAGGCTACTACGGCGTATGTCATCATTGGTATGAAAGTTTCTCGGTACAATGTTGATAGGCACTTATGCCTCAGTCCCCCCAGTCTTTTCTCACTAGCCTGGCAAGTGCGTTGAATTTCGAGTCACACCTGCTTTTCAGCTTTTCGACATGAGTCCTGACATATAGTCCTCTGTCAAAGTGTATCCCGAGGTACTTGACGGTGATCTTTGGTGGTCTTTTGGGGTCCAGTATTCCTTTATATAGTGTCATCTATGTTTTTGATTCGGAGAGTTTAAGTTTCTCATTCGCGAACCACGTTTGAGTGAGAATCACTATGGCTTGTCCTTTCTCTTCTAGTTCGCGTCGACTGTTTCCGAAGATGAATACCTTAAGATCGTCAGCGATGGCTACAGCTTCAGTGTCCGCGTTCTTCAGCTCGTTGAGGAGGTCGTTTCCTCGTTCCTGCCACAGAGTTTCATAGAGCGGTCCCTAAGGTAACTAGAAATTAGCCCGTAGATGTTCTTCAAACAGCCTCTCTCTTTTAATCTGTGGAGGACGCTCCGCCATCAAACGTGGGCAAACGCTCCAGCGATGTCAAAGAGGATGGCCCGAACGTATTTTTTGTCACAGTTGAAGACCAGTGTCCGCGTTTGGATTATGGCGTCTTCCGTGGATCTTCCTTTCTTGAACCCGTATTGGCGCTCAGCTGCGAATTCTTTATGGCAAAAGACTGGCTCAAGCCTCCTGGCAATGAGCTTCTCCAGCGCCTTTCCGACCACTGGGAGGATGCATATTGGCCGGTACGATGTTGGTACTGAGTCGTCTTCGCCTCTTCAGAAGAACTCGGATATTCCCCGTTTTCCAGATTCTAGGAAAACATCCTTTCCTGAGACAACAGGCATTGAAGAGCCCGTTCAGTTCTGACTCAAGTACCGCGTAGGAGGCCTTTAGCACTTCTACTTCGATTCGGTCAGGTCCTGGTGCTTTGCGATTCCGTAGCTGCTTCACTGCTGTTGCGATCTCAGCACTAGCGAAATCGTCAGAGTCCCTGGTGTCCGGCGTTGTGTCGCGGGCGACTCTTCTTTCTCTCTGTATGTCCGTGCTGTCCTCGTCGTCGTCCGGTACTAGGTCCTGCAAAAACGTTGTAGCAGTTTCTTCCCACGTTATCGTGTGTGCGGAGCCGGATTTGCAGGTGGCTAGAGCTCGTTCTGGTATGATCTTCTGAACGCTTAACGTGTATACCATGTCCCACAGATTGGCATTTCCTTCTCGTAATACGAATTCCTCCCAGCTGTTCTTCTTGGCTCTCCTGACTTCATACGTGTACTTATTCTTGACCCTTCTGTAATCGGATTTAAGTTGGTTTCTGAGCTCCGGGTTCTTCTCTTGTTGAAAGGCCTTACGGCGCCGGTACGTTAGTTTTTTGAGTTTCGTTAGAGAGTCGGTCCACCAAGGAACGGGAGAGTGGCGTATTGTCTTGGGTTTTAAGGCTTTTTTGCATGCGTTAAATATACAGGTCCGTAAGACTTCGGCTGCCTTCTCTACATCTTCGTTGAGAACGTCTTCCCATCCTGGTGTCATTTCCTCCCTTTGTGTCAACAGAATCTCTTGAAACTTCTACCACTCGGCGTGGTTCGTCTGGAATCTCGGAGCCACAGGGTTAGAAAGAGACGCAGTCTCGGTTGTCAGATTGAAGCAGATAAGGTTGTGGTTGCTACTAGTCCAACCATCCTTCACGGCCCAGGCGTCAACGAGATGCGTCGCTGTGTACGACCCCAGCGTCACATCGATGTTGGATGTACCTACTGGGGCTGACTACGTTGGTGGGTTTCCTGCTTCGTTGAGTACTATTAAGTTGTTCTGATCTATTGATTGTTCAAGTTTCTCTCCTCGTTCGTCCGTGATGTTGCTGTGCCAGATTGGTGATTTTGCATTCGCGTCTGCTGCTATTATTACTTTTTCGTTTCTGAGGCAACGTGTTGTTTCTTCCACGAGCTGAATGTATCGGTCGATGTCGTGGGAGTATTGGAAGTACATGCTGACTAGGTATATTCGGCCGAGGCTGCCTTTAACTTCTACGCAAGTGCAGTGCTCATGGTTAAGCTGAGCGACCTTCAGCACCGTGAGGTTCCTGTTCTTGATGGCAATCGCAGACTGCAGGGTTTGGTTCTGCTTTCCACCGGTGACGACGATCGTGTTTCTGGCGAATCCAAGTATTTTCCTTTTTGCATTGTGCGGCTCCTGCATGAGAAGAATGTCCAGCCCATGCTGGTCCATTAGCCTATTGGCTTCGATGGTGACTATTTGTGATTTCCTCATGTTTAGCTGCGCAATGTTCAACCGGGTCGTTCCGTCAGTGGGCTTACGATCCATAGTCGGTTCTACTTGGTTGATTGCTGCTACATACGCTGGGCAGTCCTTGTCTGTGACGCAGTGATCCTGCAGCCTTCCTCCCTTCTTGCAGTTCACGCAAGTGGCCTGCTTAGATTTGTTAGTGCAGTTTTTGAAAGTGTAGCCTGCCGCTGCGCAGTGTCCGCATACGTCGTGCTCATTCTTGCAGTGTTTGGACGTATGTCCGAATCCCTGACACTTATAGCACCTCGTTGCTGCGATTAAGTCCTGTACCTGGCAGCACTGCCACATTAGGTAGAGGCGCTTCTTCTTCACTAATAGGTTCCTTATTCCTTTGGATGGTTCCAGCACGACGTTGCAGCTTTCCTTGTTGTTTTTGTTACCTGTTTTAAAAGCTACCTTCATTTGATGTTTGTACTTACTTCCTTCTTGGGGGTTCAGATTCTGCTCCACTATGGCCTGAATGATCTCGTCGTCGCCTTTCCTAGGGGCGCCGAAAACGATTAGGCGTGGATTCTTCTTTGCCAGTACGTCCACTGAGAAACCTGCAGCTTTCAGCTTCTCATTCTTCATTAGCGCCTCCATATTGCAGGTTGTGGCTGTCTCCACAGCTATTCCATTACCTTAGATGCGTCCATTACCAGATTTTCTTCCTTGGGTGGCACGAGAGTGACTATCGCCTGTTTTGTTGCCTCGCTATCCTTGTATTGCGTCACATTCTTGGGGCATATGATAACAACGTCTGACGGGTTCTGCTTTTGGTTGGATAATTCCACGACCTTGGATTTGATCTCCAGGCGCTCCGTGTAGGTTGTTTTTTGTTGCTGCGGTGCAATAGCCACATTTTTTCCTGCCTGGGTTAGCTCAAGTCTCTGCGCGGTGTTTTGGTTGCGGAGTGCGACGATCTGCCCCTCTAAATTGCTGTTTAGCAGCAACGACTCATGTAACAGACTGTTTAGTTTGCTTACCTTATTAATAATATACTTACCTGTTGATGCCTAGATACCGTATTCCGGGCTCGACAGGACAGTTAGAAGCTTCCTCTAGATGGCCTTCGCTTTCTCCTTGATACTGTAGATTGGTTCTCGGTAGTGAGTGCCCTGACGCACGTCGCTCTCCTCGTTGTCGCTTGATTTCTGCGGCTTTTCCTTTTCGCAAGTTGTCTTGGTCGCGCCTGATTCCGTTCCCTCCTTTCGCTTCTGTGGGCGGTCCAAGTCGGTGTCCGACGATATCTTCCTCTTCCTGACGTGTTCCTGCGCACCACTCAGACGGCGCTTGTGTTGCAGCGTCGCAATAAGGCGGCCAAGATGGCGTCCAATATGGCCGCTTAACCTTAACAAGTCTAGCACTTCAGATATTGTTTCAATCTCACCATCGTTATTTCCACTACGATTTCTATTTTGAATATGTCAAGATATTCAGCAACTCGATTCCAGTCGTTTTATGTGTGCAGCGGCACTGGTGCGTTAGGCGGCTCCGAGAAAATCGGCTGAGACTCGGTCGGCTTGGGTTGGTTGACACGTGGCCAACGCCCAAGGGTTTAACCTTTGACCCTCCCCCGCGTGCCAACTCCGCCGACGCGACGGCGTCCCAGGCCGAGTCTGGACACTGGCCCTGCGCGTCCTTGGACCGCGATTGAGGCGCCACTTCAGTGCCTGTCTGAAGGAGGGGGTATTCCTCCAGGATTGGAAGGTGGGACGACTGGTCCTGCTCAAAAAGGAAGGATGGCCCGCGGAGAGCCCCTCCGCGTACCGGCCCATAGTTTTGCTCGACGAGGTCGGGAAGCTCTCCAAATGCATCATAGTTGACCATCGATGCGATTCACTCGCTGCGTTCCCAACGCGACTCGGCCACATCCCGGGGCGAGGTGGCGTTGGGCGTTTCGCTCGACGCGACATTGCAAACGCCTTTAACACCCTGCCCCATGGAACGATAACGGGGGCACTGGTTGAACATAATGTGCTCCCGGTACTGAGATGGATGATCGGACACTACCTACGGGATAGGTTAATCGAGTATGTGGGCCGGGACGGACGCACCTATAGGAGGGGCGTCGACAGGAGTGTACCCCAGGGGTCCCGTACGGGGCCCCCATTGCGAAACGTGGGGTACAACCGAGCTCTGTGGGCCGTGGTCCCGGACGGGGTAAGCATCATGTGTTTTGCTGTTGACATACACGTGCTTGCCGCCGACCGGGACTGGAGCAGGACCAGTCGTCTAGCGGAGATTGGTGTGGCTGCCGTCGCAGCGATGATCCGAAGGCTGGAGCTACAAATAGCACCCCAGTCTTGGATCCGAGTAGGTGATATCAAGGTCCAAGTGGATGAAGGCTTCAAGTATCTTGGCCTCCACCTGGACAGCCACTGGCACTTTAGAAGACACTTCGACTGTCTGGCCCCCCGATTAGACGAGGTAGCAAATGTCCTTGGGCGAGTGCTGCCCAATATCGTGGGGTCCAGTGAGAAGGTTCGCCGCCTCTACACGGGGATCGTGCGGAACATTGCCCTGTATGGGTCGCCCATATGGGATGGTGCCCTGATGGCCTCTCGCCGCAGCCAGGTTGTGCTGCGGTAAGTTGAAAGAAGGATCGCCATCAGGGTCGTGAGGGGGTACCGCACGGTTTCCCACGCGGCGGCGATGACTAGCGGGTCTCGTACCTCTCATGTACGAGGCGAAGGCCTGCGCCACAATTGTTTGGCGCCTGCGCGGCCTACACCAAGCAGGAGAATTTCTACTTTATAATAGTACAATAATCAGCCTCGGAATCCCGCGAATTTCCATTTTATAAATAAAATAAGATTCTGTAACTGGAAAAGACATTTCTTTAGTAATGGTTATATGTGCAGAAGCTTAAATCTGATTTTTAGGGCCATCAGGAGTCAAAATAATGACTCGCAAAGAAATATTTTCCTTCATGGAAGAAAAGGAAAATTGTAATTTTGATAAAAAATTAAGCGGCCCAGGTACATGTGCATGGGTTTTCTTCATCCAAAACAGGTATTTCCATAAAAAGGGACACAATAGTATACAGAGAAAACATGTATAACGGAACAATTCACAATGCGAGGGTGTGACATAGTAAAGAAGACAAAACCAAAAAATAAAATTGTTTTTAATACTTTTTGATAGCTTTTAGTTTTTTTTTAATGCCTAAAATTTCTCCTACTATATTAAAATATCATGAATAAATATGTACGCACGTTTCTGAATCCATTAAAGAAGAAAAATAATTTTGGCCACCTAAATCGGTCAAATTCCCCTCTGTGCATCGGGGCCCAGAGCGGTGTTCCGAGCCCCCATGCGTTTAAATACCACGGCCAGCTCTCCCTCGGTGACCCCCATGTCGTGGGTCTATTCGACGTGGACCGGCGGGGGCCAGGGGTGGTCACCCTCGTCACAAGGGAACAACGTGTCCATCACCTGCCCCAAGAAATGGGGGTCGAGGCTCTCCGTCACGGAGGGCGCCCAAGGTCTTATCTTGCCCACTGCCCACTTATAAGGTCGCCCCACGGATCGTCGTTCAGAGAACCGAAGAGCTCTTGCCACGCCCGAGATTTGGCCAATTGCAGGGCTACCACTAACACTCTGTAGCATCCGTACAGCTCTTCCTCCCCCGGTGGGTCGAGGTTCCTTCTCCGACGGGCCCTTTGCCACTGGCTTCGGGGGACATTGCAGTTATGCCGGATATCGGCGATCTCGCTCGATCACCAGTAAGCGGCCCGTCTGGGGAGGCATTTGGTCCGAGGCATGGCGACGTCACATATCGCCTTCGTCGCGTCCCGGAACCATTTCACCTCCTCCCCTGTATCCGCGATCGGCCCGGCCAGTTGCACCGGCCAGGTCACAGCGAGGGCTGCGGCCATCAGCGCGTCCCTGTCAAGCCTTTTCAGAGCCCATCTCCGCGGCGGTGGGCAGCTCAGCGGGCGGTGGTCGGTGGTGGAGTTAAATCCGAGGCGGATGTGACGAAGGTCGCTGAGCTACTCCACCTCCTCCACCACCCTCCAACACCGCACCATGCGCGCGGCCGAGGGAGTTGCGAACAAATGTCGACTATCGTCACCCCTGGGCGCGCACGCAGGTGCTGACCCAGCCCCGGTTCAACAGCCGGGGCTCGAATTCCGCCGCCCACTCGAGTACCGCCTCACCCCTAGCATCAGTCCCCTCGGAGACCCCCGCGATTGAGCATGGGAGTTGAAATCCCCGAGGATGAGTGCCGGCCAGGAGTAGCAACGGGAGACCACGTCTCCCACCCGCCCTAAGCACTCTTCGAATGCCGCGATGGGCTAACTGGCCGGGCAATGAAGGACCACCGCGACATCGCACCATAACACCGCAGCATACCATCGCCCCTGTTCAATTAGCGTAGAAGGCAGAGCAACGGCGCTGCCAATCACTGCCACAGAGCCGTCGTCGTCCCCGAACCAGTCGTATCTATCGGGGACTCTGTACGACCCCGTGGCTACTGCCAACCCTATTCTCCACTAGGTCAGATGATGCACCAGAAGCTCTTGGGCTCTGGTCGAGCGGTTCGGATTAGCCTGCAGGATGGGCCCTTTGGGCCCCATTGCTTTTTGGAGGGGGCCGCCCCCACGGCCTTTCCTCCTTTTGGGATGGCGGACCTGCCACCCCTCTTCTTACTAGGCGCAACAGCCTGGGCTGGCTGCTGCTGCGCCTGTTGAGGGGGTGCTACGCCCCCATGAACAGCACCCATCTTATTGACTGGCCTCAGGGATTTGGGGACACACGACTTTGACCCCAACCGGTGCCCCGCGGGTCGCCCCAAGTCTGTGCACAAGGGGCACCGCGGGATGGCACTACACGTGCTGGCCTTATGACTCGCCGCAGACGTAGCAGTGGTCGGACCGATCAACCTCGCAGACACATCGCTGCCTCACATGGCCTTTTTCAAGGCAGCGGTAGCATTGCAACGACCGTGCCGGCAGCGCCCTGACCCTGGTAAAGGCTCAGCCCACTAGGATCCTTCCGGAGGCGGCTATCTTATTGAGCGCCGTCAAAGGGCGTTTCGCTCAAACAGTCCCCGGCCTGGCCGGGGAGATCCTGGTCTCCCGACCTTCACATCGGCTGGGGAACAAGCCCCCACAGCGGCCTAGGCCGCCGCAGCCTCCTCCGGGGATACCGAGTCATCAAGTCTCACAATCCTCATCTTGCCCGCTTTAACAAGGCGAATCACCCGGACCTCGGTGCCCCCGACCATCTCCTGGAGGCGGCCGGCCGACGCTGCCGCCCTTTCCGTCCGGCTTTCGCCCGAAATCTCCAAGACCAGGACGCCGGTAACCGCCCGGTGGGGTCCAATCTCCATAATCCCGATGGTACGAAGATCAACCCTTTCCCGGGCGGTGGTTATCACCTCGGCATACGTGGCCTTAGCCTCTGGGGCCAAAGTCAAGGTGACAGCCGCTGGTTTCGGCGGCCTGCCAACCCCCTTCTTCGTCAGGGAGGGGCGGGGTATTTGGCGCCGGCTGGTCCCTGCCGGCGAGCTCCGGCTTGGGGGCGGCCTTGGCCCTCCCAGCAGTCACCCACTGCTTCTTGGGGGGCGGAGCCACCCCAACCCCTCTAGAAGTTGCGAACTCCGCTCTCCGGGGGATCTGTTGCATTAGGTCGGTAAGACACACCCTGATATCCTTCCCCACGTAACCTTTTTCTTCGTGGGGGAAATGTTCTACAAGACCCCCCCAGGGGAGGGGCGGGGGGTAGTGGGATTCTTACCTGCTAAAACCCCCACGGTGGGCTGCCCTGGGCTTGAGGGAGGACCCCGCGACCTCTGACGAACACTCCGGTACCCTTCCACTCATGGCCATTTACACGCACCATCTCGGGGGAGAGTCTAGTCTTTGACCCTGCCCCTACGAACCAACTCCGCCGACCCTGGAGGCCACCTACGGCCCAGCGGCTCCACCTTGGAGCCGCCTATCTGTGATGGGGGAGAGGGGCAAGCCCCTACCCCCGTTCTGTCCCCCTGGAGGAGGCCGGGGCCCACTACATCTTCCTTGGGATGGGGGGGAGCCGAAGCTCTCCCTAAATATGCGGGGAGCATATTTATGAGGGCCCACCGCCCCATCCTTTTCAGCGTCTCCTCCTGCGTGCGGGGTCGGCTAACTCTCGACCCGTTTCCACTCCCCCCCCACCTAACATAACCTAACTTCACCTTTTTTTTTATTTGCCGGAGGGAAATACAAATACGTACGCGCGGAGTAGCCCCTTTCGCACTATTCAGCTAAGGGACGCCCTGGCAGTGAGGGACTCGTACCATCCACCAGTATTCGTACTATCTACTAAAACCACTCCCCCGTGTTGGGGTTTACTTCCGAAAGGCCCCCCCACCCTAGGGCAGCCAAACTTAGGATTTATAGTAATTGAGGGACGAGAAAAGCTAAAATCAAAATCAAGGAATAAAAGTTTTAAAATTCGAATTAAATTCGAATAAATAAAATTGAGCGCTTAAGAATTGGTGGAAGAGTGACGAGTGAGCATTCTGGTTCGGCTGGAGGAGCACGCGAGGAAGCAAGGAACCCTCCGAGGGAGCAAGAGAGCCATTGCGTAGCCTCAGTTCCTCCTGCGCATACGCAGTCTGATTTTCAGGCCGAAAGTAAGGATATTTTATACAGGGTATTAGAGAAGTGTAGGACGCTTCTATTATCTCGAAAAGAACGCACTTTTATGCAAAATGACACGGAAAAAATGGAGGTTTCCATTTCAAAAATTCGATTTAATCTATAAACAACCTCCAAGGTCAAGTTCAAGGTCACTACAGGATAATGTAATTATTTAGATTACGTACGGCACACAGTGTGTTAAAACAGCCGTCTGATCGCGAAAAACTCAAAATTTTGATCATTTTCTGCTATGACATTTTTGATTTTTTTAGGTTCCGAAATGCCTAATGATTCTTAATTAAGATGTTGTTCATCTATAAAAAGTGTTTATGTAGAATAATATGTACACAGACGTCTGTCATTTCTATTGTCTTTAAAAATACCATTTCGCGGTTGATGTTATCCCTTCTCGTAAATGGTTATATTAATAGTTATGTACTTTATGTGTCACAGGTGTTGTACAGGAACGTACATACTTCAATTTTCTGATTCAAAGATTGAAAGAATTTGATGACTTTTCAGAGTTGGTACGCTCAACGGAAGCCAGTTTTTAATTGCATGTATTTTGGTTTTTCATGTTTTAACAATAGTAATTGATACGGGTTGGTCAAACTGTTACTATTATCTTGTAGTTTAGGTTCAATTCTTTAGTTTTTGTAAAAATCAAGTACTACTTTTTGCAACTTTCTTAATAATTTAATTTTGGATTTCGCGGACACTCTGCTTGTTAATATCGCTTGTCAATCGACTATCCGTGACGGAATCGTCTAAACGGAAGAAAATGCAGCATTTGTTGAAAACCTATCAACACGAAGAGCTTCAGTTTGCTACTGAAATGAGTTTACGGTCACACGGCAAAGGAAAATGTAGCAGAAATAGTAAAAGCCGTTTCATCGTTTTCTTCGCAAGGTGCAAAAAGAGTGAAGAAATGTCCTCAAATGTGCAAAAAGAGTGAAGAAAATTGTTTACCCATAAAACTAACAATAGAAGAAGCTTTGGCCTTATATGTTAACAATAAATTCACCACCAGACAATATATTTCAATTCCACAACTTTCAAAATCCCACAATGTAGATATTCTAACCGCGCTCTTTCCTTAACAGTGGGTTGCCGAGGAATCTATAGCAGGGGGAAATGATTGAGAGACACCCAGTTTGATCGAGGAACAATTAACAAAATTATTTATTCAATTAATCCACGAGGATTGCTCCCGTCTGTTTTCGGATACACGCAAGTAATTTTAACCCGCGGCCGTTACGCTCGTTTGTGAGGGGACAACAACTACATCCCGGAACACCATGCCCTTGACGTTCGCGTCGCGTTTACAAATAGGCTTACGACGGTACGCTCGCAGAAGCATTCACACGCAACAAGCTGTCGACTATTCGAGATCTCGGAAATTGACATGGGAACCTGTAGTCGAGTTTCTTCTTTAAGCTATTTTAACCCTTTCGTTACGGCATTCCGCTTCGCTGGAATAACGGCACCAAACGGGGCACCGCAACATCGCAGTAGCGCCACTGAACGGAGAGCTTCTCCGCAAACTGTGCATACTGTGAGTCGGGAAATTGGTGGAGCGTGATTGTTGTCCCGATTGCTTCGAACCCAGTGCATGTCTTATTTTTGGAGTAAAACAAATGAAAACGAACTAAAGAGTGACAGGTGCTATCGATGTGATACGTGCATACGAACGAAAGAAATAAAAGTATCGCGGGGCCGTTGGGTGAGCGGTATCACGCTGGCGCCAGCTACAGCCGGTGCCCGTACACACAGGTCATCGAATGGATGCCGGCTATATCCGGCGCTCGTACACACAGGTCATCGAATGGATGCCGGCTATATCCGGCGCTCGTACACAGAAGTCATCGAGTGGATGCCGGCTATATCCGGCGCTCGTAACGAAAGGGTTAATGATACGCGGGCACCGACAGTCTCTTCACGTCACACGGCTCGCTTATGCGATTTCCTCATTCGTGCGGGTTCATATGAACCCGGTTGATGAAGGAAATCGCCTCAGGTTGCACATGGAGCATGGGAGTGGTCTCAGAAGCGATGCCAGAGTACGATTTCTGGTAACTGCTGGTTGGCTTGCGAAGAGTGCAAATCTTTCGATTGATTCTACCTGAGCTCGGTATGCGTCTGTTCGCATTAGAGCCTCGACGACAAGTGTTCGTTCTGCAGATCGGCAGGCACCTCGCTCGGTGCTCCCGGCAGCGAAGGAGAGTCTAAAGCCGCGTCCCCACTGAGTCGAGAATCGGCAATCGGCTCGGCTTGGTGTTGCCGAACGGCTTTGGTAATATTTGTAAAAAAAGTGCGTCCCCACTGCGTCGGCATTAGTAATCGGCAAATGTGACTGGAAGCGGCAAAGCCGCTCGATAGCGCCGAATCAACGTCGACTTGGGTTAAAAAGCCGATCGCCATGCCGATTGTTTTACCGTCCGATGTCGGTAAACATCAAAAAAAGTCGTGCCGAACCACCAGCGAGCCGACTCTTTTAATTTACGACCCCCCCCCCCCCCCTATCGTAGGCCGCGGTATACCATTGCAGTATACATCCGCTTTTCGTCCGAAGTGGACATCTTCATCAGTATATCAAAATGTTTAGTGATGATGAGGTGATGATTGCTGCAGCTGCATTTATAGTAATTGTAAAGAAGAAGACAGTTAAGAAACGGAGATTTTGGGTGCGTCCTAGTTTACGAAGCAGAAATATTTATAGTGCGAGTGATTTTATGAGAGATTTGATTTGTGACGATGCCAACTTAATTAATCTGGAGTATCGATGTAACGGCGGATTTAGAAATTTTTTTAGAATGTCCAGTACTGAATTCGAAACTTTATTAACTTTAATTGGATCAAAAATTGTTAAAACTGATACAAATTTTAGAAAAGCAATCCTCGTAAAAGAGCGTCTTGGTCTGACATTAAGATTTTTAGCGTCAGGGGATTCGTATCAATCCATCATGTACTTGTTTAAAATTTCAAAACAAGTAATTTCAAGAACTATCCCGGAAGTATGTGAAGCCCTCATCGATGCACTACAGTCTCATGTAAAAGTAAGTACATAATACTGCATATTGATTAAATTACTAAATAATTCATATTATATTTCCTGTATTATGATTAAGATATGCAAAAATACAATATAATACTACTACTACTACTACTACTACTACTAATAATAATAATAATAATAATAATAATAATAATAATAATAATAATAATAGTAATAATATAAGAAACAGTTTTATTACAAGTGTAAGATAGTATTAACAGTATTTACAGTATTTACATCATTGTTTGGTGAAAGAGTACATGTTTCTATGGGTGTGGGTGTTGGTAGTTGTGAATCACATGCAAAAGAAGAGAATGGCGTGGTTGGTGTAATCGATTAAGAATGAGAAGTGGATGCGTGTGATTGAATGGGTGGATTGTCATATTTTCCCAGTTGTGCCTCGAATAATGTGGTATTAATGATATGCTGGACCATTATTCGTGCATGGGCACTGGGTAATTGCCTAACTTTGATGGCGATTTGTTCTCCAAGTAGGGTGTACTCATCCCTCCGACTTCTATTTCTATACATTTCCTTCATTATATTGTACGCTTCCTTCACCTCGTTGTCAACTTTCTTTTTCCTGGTTGATATTTTATTTGTAGATAGAGCATGTGTTGCGTTTTCAGGTGTTTTCTCTACAGACTGCTCTTCCACAATGGAAACTGCAGAAGTGCTGCATTCTTCTTGAAAAACATCATTGCAAATTTTCTCCTCTGAACTATTGTTAACCTGAAAGTAAGTCAATGTTCCATAATGTCTTTTTTCAGATACCTCAGAATGAAGACGAATGGAAAATTGTAACGAAAGATTACAACGAGAAATGGAATTTTCCAAATTGCGTGGGAGCAATGGACGAGAAGCACGTGTCTATACAAGCACCACTAAATAGTGGCACAGAGTTTTTCAATTACAAAGGATTTTTCAGCATTGTACTGTCTGCTGTAGTTGATGCAAATTACAATTTTATTTATTGCAACGTGGGATGCCAAGGGCGAATTTCTGATGGAGGAGTATTTCAAAACTCCAAATTTAATGAATTGCTGACGAATATAAAAATGAAACTTCCTGGTGACTGTGCTCTCCCGGGAAGGACACGTGAAAGTCCATTTGTGTTCCTAGGGGATGATGCTTTTCCACTGACACGAAATATCATGAAACCATATCCGGGGGTTCATGCAAAATTATCCAAAAACAGAATTTTTAATTATCGATTGAGCAGAGCACGAAGAATTTCTGAGAACGTTTTTGGCATAATATCCTCCGTATTTAGAGTATTCAGAAAGCCATTGTTATTAGAGCCAGATACAGCAACCAAAGTAGTACTAGCTGCTGTATATTTACATAATTTTTTAAGACGAAGTTCATCAAAGAATATTTATAATCCCCCAGGAACATTCGACAGTGAGTGTTCGAACGACGGACATTTTATTCCTGCTGCTTGGAGGGCAGAGTTAACAGAAACGGCTTTGTCAAGTTTTCCGACCGTAGCACGTAGAAGTTCAACAGATGCACAAGAAGTAAGGGAGGAGTTCAAGGAATACTTTTCGACAATAGAAGGAGCCGTACCTTGGCAATATGAAAAATGCTAATCGTGTTTTACTTCTCTGGTTTATTTTGTAATAATAAAAAAATAGTATTTTATTGTAAACCGTGTGTATAATTACTTACCCTATCTTCTGTATTAACAGTTTTCCGTGGTCGATTTTTGTCTTTCAAAAACTGCATATTTTTGAAGGCAAACCACTTCGACTTGTACACTTCATCGGTGCCAGCACCAGACTTCAAACTTTTTTCTTCTTTTTTCACTTCTCTTGAAAAATGGCTTAATAGATTTTTAATTTTCCTATCTATTTCCTCTTTCGATTCTCCGAAACACACCGCTATTTCTGTTAATGCATCGTGCCTTTTATTTCTGTCTTTATAAGTTTTATCGCGACAGTCCCATAAGTTGGAACGATTCCGATACATTTCTATCATCTGTAAAACTTTTTCTTGTGTCCATTCCGTCATTTTTCCGAATTAGAAAATATGAAAACTTTTACAAGCTAACTGTCACGCGTCTAGATTCGAAGACCGACTCTTGGCTTCGGCACGATTTGCCGTTCGGCCATGCGGTCCAAGCCGAAACGCATGTCCATACTTGCTCGGCAATGCCGAGCGGCTTTGCCAATCGGCAAATGTCGACCCAGTGGGGACGCGGCTTAACGCTTGCGCGATTCGTACTATGACATGATAGTGAGGCCGGCCCTACGGGCCCCTATACTATGTGACGTATCGATGGCCTAATCGATCGGTTACAATATATATCCAAAATACTATAAATTACTGGAAGGAAAGAAAAAATGTTATCAGGAAAATATATTGATTGCCGAAGATATTGCTGAGATACAGCTTCAGACTTTGTTAAACCATACCATTTCGAGACTACTTGCTTCCCAATCGGAGTTTTGGGAAACGACCGAGTTAGAAGAAAATATTACAGTATTGTTTAAATGGGGTTGTGATGGTGCATCAGGGCAAAGTACTTATAAGCAAGTTTTTACAGACAATTGTACAGCGGATGACAATTCAATTTTTATTATTTCTTTAGTTCCATTAAAAATAAGTTTTACCAGTAATGTTCAAGGAGTACACGAAGAAATTATTTTGTGGCATAATCTCATTCCATCTTCAACTAAATTCTGTCGGCCAATTAAAATTATATTCAGAAAGGAAACAAGCGAATTAGTTACAGTAGAAATTCGAAAAATTGAAGAACAGATTAAGATATTGGAGCCCTTCAAAATTAAAGTACAAAATCAAGATATTCGATTTCATCCAAAATTGATACTAACTATAAACGATGGCAAAATTTGCAGTAATATTACAAAGGAGTCGCTTCAAAATTGTTATACATGTGGATACAGTCCAAAATATATGAACAATTTAGAATTTGTTTTCCAAAGAGAAAGGAGGGAGTGGTCTTTGTCATTTGGCATTTCCAGTTTGCATGCATGGATTAAATGTTTCGAGTGCATTTTACACATTGCATACAGACTACAAGTGAAAACCTGGCAAGTGAAGAAAAGTAACAGAGAGCAGGTAGATGCTAGGAAAAAGCTAATTCAAGAAAGATTTCGAAGAGAAATGGGTCTGTTAGTGGATACACCAAAACCAGGATTTGGTACTAGCAATGATGGTAATACCGCACGAAGATTCTTCTACAATTTTTCATTGGCAGCAGACATTACTGGAGTGGATGAGGAATTAATTAGACGTTTCGGCACAATATTACGAACAATATCATCAGGGTTAAAAATCGATGAAAATCTATTTGAAAAATACTGTCTAGATACAGCAAAATTATATATAAAGATATATCCGTGGTATTATATGCCTCAAACTGTGCATAAAATTTTAATACACAGAGCGGAAATGATTAAGAATGCATTATTGCCCATTGGAAAATTATCCGAAGAGGCACAAGAAGCAATAAATAAAAGCACAAAATGTTATAGACAATGTAATACAAGGAAGTGTTCTAGAGCAAAATGTATGGAAGCATTGTTGCAGATGCTTCTGCTATCTTCGGATCTTGCGATAAGTAATTTACGAATTAAAAAGGAAAAAAAAGATGGACAATTTTCTAAAGAAGTATTAATTTTAGTAAAAAATGTAAACATCCAAAATAATTCCAATACTTTCAGTTAATTTAATTAATTTATTATATAACAGTTAGTTAATGTATATAGTTCAGTATTATTATTGTATTATTGTATTATTTGTGACCCGATTTTGCGTGGGTGCACTCTGTATTTCGCGGGATGTCGTTGGGCGCCAGCCACTTTCGCGTGGCAACCGAAACCGGAGAGAAACAGGGGGAAATTTTGAGGACTTCTACAAAGGGAAGGAATCACGGCTTGACCGCTGTCGGCCGTCACACCAATTTCGCGGGGGAGTGCACAAGGAGGATCGTCTTGGGAAAGGAGGTTTCAGGGTCGGGAAAGGTTCACAGCAAGTTCTATACGTTACGCGTCGGGGGAAGAATACGGAAGGGAATTTCAAAGGGAGGAAAAGGGCAGTCGCGAACGCGGGGTACCGGACGCGGGCGGAGAAATACGTGGGCGAGAAGTTGCCGTCACCAGACTCAGGATTTTCACAGATTTTATAGTAATCGTAGGGACTCGCCAGTGCGCTGATTCCACACACACTCACGCTTCCGTACAATATCCGCAGATCTCACTACTCCCAACAAATCTCAAATCGCTTCTATTAATCGCTTTTCTAAATCGCTCAAATCGCTAGGCGTTCGGAACGCTAATTGCCGGCTCGTCGTCGCGATTGCGGCGGCGAGCCCGTCGTAGGGAATTTTTGGAGAGGGAATGGGGTAAGAGAAATTGCGCCATCTCTTGGGTTCTAGGATTGATCTATGATCGATGGGCTCGTAATCGGGGTCGATGGGGCTGACGGAGGCTCGATGGTGGTGGCTGCGGGCTGGTAGTCTTCGGGCTCGGCGACAGATGGACTCCACGGGACTCCTTTTTCGGCCGTTGTTCGGGCGATTTGGACGTTGGCAGTCGGTCCATCGTTGCTCTCTTCCTTGGGAGGGGCAGCAGGGCTGTCGCCCGCCACGAGGCTCCTCTTGATGGTGGTAGCTTGTTGGGGGTCCTACCGTCGCCTCCATCGGCCCAATACCGGCGGGTGGGAAAAGGGGTAAGGTGAGGGGAAGGGTTTGTCACGGGTTAAGATGTGTAGGAGTGGGAGGCGGGAGAGCGCGGCGATTGTGACGGGGGGGTCTGGTGACACCACGTTACATATTATTATTTTATGATTATTATGATTATCATATTATTATTCTCATAATAATTTACAAATCATATTAATTTAATATAAATAATTTTGTTTTCGGGGACCGGTAGCGGTAACGGTTGTGTGTAGTCGCGTCCAGTGTATGCTCCGTGATTTTTGGTAAAATCAGAAGAAATAAGGTGTTGGTGGGGGTGAAAAATAGTGTTAGAGGAGGCGGAAAAGGCGGGAAAGGGCAGGAAGCAAATAAGCGCAGCGGAGGGTCAGGAGGAAGGAAGTATAAGTGGCCGAGACAGAAAAGGGAAAGGTGCGAGGTTAGGAGTGAACAAGGAAGAAGAAGCGGGGAGCGAAGGGAAAGGAGGAGGAGAGAGTTACCTAAGGCAGACGAGAGAAAGGGGAGTGAAAGAGAAGAGCAGCCAGCAAGGAAGAGTCAAGCACGGTTACGTGGAGTAAGGAGTGAGCAATGGTAGGGGAGAAGGTCGAAAAGAAGGGAGGAGAAAGCATGGAAGACTCAGGGAAGCAAGAAAAAGGGGGAAGAAGAGGCAGACCCTCGAACGTGGAGGTGCTGATAAGGGAGAGAACGCAGAACATAGGAAGTATGGCGAACCTAGACGATATCTGGAAAAGGAAAAGAGATGCAGGAAATGAAGAGGAGGGGGTGGAGGCGAAAGATGAGGAGGGGGTGGAGGCGAAAGATGAAGAGGGGAAGAGCGAGTCAAGAAAATGGATATTCAGAAAGAGCAAGTTGACGGGAAGGTTTCCGGAAAAGAAGAAAGAAAAAAAGAAGTGGTAGCGGGAGTGGGGGAAATAAAGGAGCTAATAAAACAAATGGGTAGGGAATTGGGAGAGAAAATGGAGAAGGTGGACGACAATATGAGGATATTAGGGAAGGACCTAAGGGGAGAGATAGAGGAGCTAAAAGCAGATATGAAAAGAAGAGAAGATAAATGGATAGAACAGAAGAGAGAAATAGAGAAGAAAATAGGAGCGATGGGGAAAAAGATAGAGGAGCTAGAGAGGGGAGGAATAGAAAACGTGAGGTGGACGGAATTAGAGGAAAAAGTCAAAAAAGTCAACAACACGATACAAGAAGTAATTGGCAAGAATAAAGAAGAGGCGAGAGAAGAGAAAATGAAAGAAAGGCTGAGTGAGCTAGAAAAGAAATGGGAAAGGAAAGAAAGAGAAGAGAAGAAGAAAGAAAGGAAAGAAAGAGAAGAGAAGAAGAAAAACATAATAATTAGAGGACTCAAAATAAGAAGAGAAGAGATGAAGGAGAAGGCGGACGAAATTCTAAAAATAGTAGGGATAGTAGAAGCCGTAGAGGAGACGAAAACGGTAGGGCTGGCAGAAGGGGGAAAAGAAGTCAGCATGAATCCAAGTAAAAATAAAAACGACGGAACTCAAAAGTAAAATAATGGAAGACAAAAAGGCCCTTAAAAGAAGGGCGGAAAGGATAGAGGAAGATCTGACATGGGAGGAGAGAAGGATACAGTGGAAGCTAAGAAGAATATCTAGGGAGGAAAGAGACAAAGGAAGATATGTATGGGTAGAGCAGGGGAAAATTAGAATAGAAGGGAAATGGTGGAAATGGGATAAAGAAAGGGAAACATTAAAAGACTGGGAGGGGAATGAGCGGGGTCTATCGCAGGGGGGCAGCAAAACGAGGGGGAAGGAGCGTAAGGGTTAAAGGAGGAGGTCTGAGGACAAGAACAATAGAGCAGGGCAAAAACAAACAGGAGAAGAGGAAGAAAAAAAGAGGGGGGTGGGTGGTAAGGTTCTGGAACTGCGCGAGAGTCAGAACCAAAGAGGCTGACTTCTGGGAGACGATAAAGAAATGGGATGTGGCAGTGATCATGGAGAACTTGGCTAGAGGAGAAGGGCTGGGAAAAAGTGAAAGACAGGCTGCTAAAAGGGTACAAGTAGGAAGCACAACTGGCGAAAAGAAGGAACAGAAAGGGAAGGGCGATGGGAGGAATGATAATGGGAGTAAGAAAAGACTTACTAGGATAGGAGGGAAGAATCACAAAAGAGGAGGGGTAAGAGGGCATAATGACAGCGGAATTCAAGGAGGAAGAGGAAAGTTGGAAAATCGTGGGAGTGTAGCGGAGTTAAGAAATTGGATGGAGAAGGTAGGAGGGGAGAGAACAACGATAATAGGAGGAGACTTCAATACAAGAACAGGAGAGGAAGGGAGGAGGAGAGGAAGAAGGGGAAGATGAAGAAAAGAAAAGTTCTAAGGACAAGAAGATAAACGCAGAGGGGAAAGAGTTGCTGGCGGTCCTGAGGGAGACGGGTTGAATGATGCTAAACGGGAACATAGAGGGGGACGAAGAGGGAGAATACACGTACACTGGGGTCAGAAGGGACACGGTGATAGATTACGTCCTAGTAGAAGGACTTTTCCTAGTAGGAGGACGAGAATCAGAAGAATGGAAGTAGGGGATGAAATAGACTCAGATCATCACCCGATAATAGTGACCCTGAAAGGGGGAGAAAAGGAGAATAGAATGAGGGAGGAGAAAAGAAAAGCAATATCAATAGGGAACTGGACAGAACAAGGAAGGGAAAAATTCAGAGAAGGAATAATTTGGAGAAAGCCGAGGAAAGGAAATCTGGAAGAGGACATGGAAATTATGTTGGAGGAATTTAGGAAAGGAATGGAGAGCGGGAGAGAGAAGGAGAAGAAAAGCAAAAGAAAGAAGGGGTGGTGGGACGAAGAGTGCGGGAAGAGGAAAAAAGAAGTGAGAAAGGTGCTAAGAGATTGGAGGAAAGGGAAGGAGGAAAAAGAAAGCTACAAAAAGGCAAAAAAGGAATACAGCAGGTTGCACGAAGTTAAAAAGAAAGAAGAAAATGAGAGATTCGTGAAAGAGGCGGAAAATGCGAAAACGGACAGAGAAGTATGGAGGATAATAAACACGGAAAGGAAAAAGAGAGGAAGGATCACGACGAGCATTAAGGAAGAGGAATGGAAAAACCACTTTATGCACCTCCTGGGAGGGACGGAAGAAAAAGTGGTCCTGGGAGGAGAAAGAGAAAGAGAAGTAGAGAGTGACGAGGAAGAAGAAATTAGTAGGGAGGAGATTAGAAAAGCGAAAGTCAAACTAAAGGACGGAAAAGCGGTGGGAGGGGATGGAATACCGAACGAGGTGTGGAAATACGGAGGCCCGGAGGTAACGGAGTGGGTATGGGAGACTTGTAACAGAGTCTGGAAGGGAGAGGGATGGCCAGAAGGAAAGCAGACCAACGACTACAGAGGGGTGACGTTGATGCCCACGTTATACAAAATATATGCAGCAGTCCTGACGGAAAGATTGAGGGAGGAGATGGAGGGATAGGAAATGATACCTGCTAACCAGACGGGCTTCAGAAAGGGGATGGGCACAACGGACAATATATATGTGATGAATTATCTGATAAACAGGTAGGTAAGGAGAGAAAAGGTATAGAGAAAGGGCTACAGAAAGAGGTACAGAGATGGCAGTCTTGGAAGGGAGAAGAAGAAATGGGGAAATGGGCTATGAGACTTTCGAAGAAGCAGATGTGCAGCTTCAGGAAAGAGAGAGATGGCAAAAGATAAGGGACTCCAAGTATAACAAATGGTACAAGGTCATCAAGAAACCCGGAACCCCGAGGTATCTGGAAGAAGGACGGAAACAGAAAAGATGGAGAAGAATTGCCAGATTCAGGCTGGGGAACGAGGTAAACAAGGCCAAGTACTGGGAGAAAGAAGAGAAAAGAAGATGTAGAGTTTGCGGGTGGGAAAGGGAGACCTGGGAACACGTCTGGAAAGGCTGTAGAAGAAACGAGGAGATGAGTGAAGGATGGCAGGAAAAGGTAGAAGAACTACTCGGTGAAGAGCAAGAGGGAGAAACATGGATGAAAAAGATAAAGGGGAGAAGAGCAGAAGACGTAGAAGTAGAAGAGGGGACCAGGAGCTGACCGAGTTAACAAGGGGAGAAAGTGAGAAGAAGGAGAGCGAAGAGATAGTATAAAGAACAATCATTGTGATTATATAATGTGATACAATTGATTTGTAAGGTTGTAAGGTTGGGGAACGCTCCGTAAAAGCGCCACGCGATCCCGACAGGGGAGCGTTAAATAAATATAAATAAATATAAATATGTATAAGATCGAGTTCGAGTTTTTTCGCGATCGAGAAGCCGGTTCGGTTTGCGGAGATTGGCGGTGAGACGGAAAGAAAGAATGTGGTCGAGTTTGAACAATTAACAGACGTTTATATTCACAAAAGTATGTACATTATATACAAGTCTGTTCGTTGAACAATGTAAACTTGAGATCGAGATCGTCTGATTCACACGCGTCGCGCAGAATTGAGGTTGAAATCGAGCTGTGTAACCACCACGTGTTGGCCCAACACGTGGCTACCGCGAAATTATATTAATCTCGCGGATTTAAAGAGATTGAGATTCACGCTTTCGCGTAGGCCGTTGGCACAACAAAACGCGAGTATTTGGCGAGATTGAGCGTTAGAGATCAAGCTAATATCGGCGTAAATTCAAGAAGTGTATAACACGTGTACAATCGTACAAGACTCAGAACGTTAATGGCCGCTCAACCCGCTTCGTCGCAGCGAGAACCGTTGGCTTTCTTCTCGCTGACGTGCCGCTCCCTGATTGGTCGGCGTGACCGGCATCCAAGGTGGCTGCCGGTCGCGCTGTAGAGTGCTGCCGCGGTCTGCGTGAAGGCGGTAGAAATTACATTTTCGAACAAAATAAAATAATTTAGTTTTCATTTTGAATATTTCAATATAATAAAGAAAATACCATAAAAATGTCTTAACTATTAATAATCTTACTTATCCATAGTAATTTCTACACTTTTAAACTGAAAAATAGTTTTTCGCAGTCAGACGGCTGTTTTAACACACTGTGCGGCACCTCCGTTCACAATTATATTTAATTAAACTTTAAGAAAGCATATACAAAAGTCACATAAATATACAGAAAACACTAGAGTATGTACAGAGATCTTAACTATTAATTAAAGCGTGGACACTATAACTATAAATACAACGATTAGAACATACCGCGGGCTAAGATGCAGCGTCGCGTGTTCAGAAGAACTGTACTTGTACGAAAAGCGTGGACAGCGAGCAATAAGTGTTTGCGTGTCAAGCGATCGAACAAGAAGAACACGATCGATGATGGCGTCGATCGTGCCGGCTATCGCGTGGAGAGGGGGCCGCGTGGACAAAGAAGGCCCGAGAGGTGCTGCCGCTGTCGGCAGCGACGCACCAGCGAAGTATTTTCGCAGCCAACTTCGTTGATCGGCGTGTTCCTGGGGAATTTCGCCAACAATAAAACTTTTTTATTTTTGACTTTTTTTAAATGAAACTTTTACTAGTGCATTGGTGAGATTTTTCTGATTAAAATGATACCAAACACGATATAGTTTGAATTATAATTACTTACTGTGGCGAAATTCCCCAAATTCAGAACGACGAAGTTGGCAGCGAAAATACTTCGCTGATGCGTCGCTACCGACAGCGGCAGCACCTCTCGAGTCCCCTTTGTTCAAGCGGTCCCCTCTCTACGCCGGAACCGGCACGATCGACGCCATGATCGATTTCGTCCTTCTAGTTCGGACGCTCAACCAGTGAACACGTGGTTCTGATCTGTACACGCGATTTTCACGCCTAGAGTTCAGTCCGCGCTATTTCCCAGTAGTAATTGTCCGCTCAGTGTCTTCGCAATTACCATTAGTGTAATATTCTCGTGAACTCTCAAACTATTGTGCACTCTATTGTATATAATTTCTATCATTTTGTGATTCGTGAACTCTCTTTCAAACTGTATATATTTCATTTCATACTTGTACATAATAAATTTGTTGCGAACGTTACAAAGTGTGTTCCTCTTTCCCAGACCTCTCCGGCCTCGCAATTTCTCTAAAACTTGCTAAAATTGATATTCAAAGCTGGCGAAAATCCAGAGAGAGCGAAATCAAAATATTGCACATACTCTGTTACGAACTCGCATTTACGATTAGACTTTCCGATGGTCGGTTAAGTCGACGAAGGTTGTAAGTCTTCGTCCGAAATGTTCAATCGTCACCGCGAAACGTGAGCGTTTCCACGATCTGTTAAAACGGTAGAAAGATTAACTTGAATCAGCGTATATTGTCAAGTTATGCACTTGCTGGGACAAGTGTGGTAGGATGGAGGACGAATCACGCGTCCGTTACTGGGGTAAGTGTACGGTAAAGGTGGTGGATCAGGCCTCTACCAGCCAGGAATGGATGCACTTGCTGAGGCAAGTGTGCTGTGATGGAAGACGGATCAGGCGTTTGTCAGGAGACAATGCACACTTACTGGGGTAAGTGTGCGGTAGAGATGATGGAGCAGGCGTCCACCATCTACTCGGATAAAGAATAACTGATCAGGCGTCAGCTACGCGTCAGAGACTAGACGCAGACTATGAAAATTCCGAGCGAAGGTCGCCGAGTGAACAGAAGTTATTACGAGGAATTCTGCACAAGACTGACTGCATTTACAAGTCTGTCAACAAGGAGCCCTCGAGGGGTGTGTTGACCGTGTAGGAGTTGACCAAGAAAGGCCAATCAGCAGGACTCAAAAATGGTAATGAGATCAATTGGCAGCACGGCAAGCGAATCGGGTCGCGAGGCAACACCCCGTTTTGAAAAGCCAAAAGTACCGACATCTGCGGCGCACGTGGGGGTCGTTGGTGCTTGTTTTGTCCTTAAAGGACAAAAGGATGTTAGCAAACCCGTGCACCGCAGGGAGTTTATGATGATAGAAGGAATGTCCTTCGTGAAGTGGTACGTTAAGTTTGGCTCTCAATAAAGTGGTCATAGTAGGAATTGGAAATATCGTGAAAGGATCGTAAAACTTCTGTCGATAGTTACGGCTCACGGTATATTGATCCCTGCATATTAAAAAATAAGCTACTTCTTTTGGAACAATAATAATAGGTGTAAGTCATCTCCCAAAATTCAGACCGCCTGGTCGTGTTAAAAGTTTCCCGCCTGGCGTTTCAAGCAAGGGACCGCCGAAAGTTGGCCTTGAACTTGACACTTGACAGCTAATAGTAAGAACTGCTAGCATCCATCGCGTGAACACCACGCAGCTGTTTTGTTTACATTTACTGACTCATTTCGTTAGATGGATTATAGTAAGGCCGACCGTAAAAATGATATATTTTCTTTAACTGGCGAGTAACCCATGTGAATACGTACATCACTGTTTTCGTAATAAAAAATGCAATCTCTTGTGTTATTTGCATGGTTGCTGTAGTTATTCAAATAAACATGGTCGACACAAATTTTTTAAACAATTTTGAAAATTTTGTTTCAACCCTTGCATTTTCATTTAATACATTAAAAACCATTCAATTTTCGTTGAAAAAGCTTTTCTCTATTTCCAACAGTTACCGAGTTAGCTTTTAGGGGTATTATACGTTTGTACGTATTTTTGGCTATTCTTAAAATCTGCAAAGTTTCATCAAGATCAAAGTCGAACTGCTCAAGACCTTTTCTTGCTAGACTCAACTTTTAACCGCTACAATTACCTGAACTGGACTTATTCTTGTTATAGTAATACCGTATTATTTAATTATAACGTCTAGCCCAAATATTTCACTATAGTGTACTTTTGCCACTCAAGATGTAGAGGAAATCGGAATAAGATGACTAGTGTTATTTTTTATTTCTGTTGATAATACATTTTCTTTGGTAAACCATTTATACATACGAATCAATAATATAGTTTAGCATAATAAAATCACGATTTGATGCGTGTAATTTATAAGAATCTGACCTCACAAGTTAATGAATAAAAATTTACGGGCAGAGACTTCTTCGGGGCTTATTCAGAATTGATCGAAGTGCTGTTTTAAACTATTACGTTGCGACGCGCGCGCGTGATGCGAGGCGGCGCAACGTAAAAAGAAAAGAAAAAAGATTGGTTTAATCTAGATGCTAGGTGAATTGATCGATTCTTCTTTCCTTGATTTTTGGGCAATGAGGAAGGTATCGCTGCCACCAGTCCTAATCGCGTATGACGCGATTAAACGTCCTCTACGATTCGAACAATTTAAAAGACGGAAAAGATAGTTATTAATTTATTTCGTTTGGGTTCGTCAGTGCTCTGGGTCCCGTACGGGTCCCTGCTTGAAACTGTATGTTGGTATTAGTAGAATTTGAAGTTAGTGGTAAGTGATGGTAGTGAAGTTAGTAAAAGTAGTTAGTGGAATTTGAAAAGCGTGAAAGGTGTTATAATTTGAAAAATAAAAGTAAGCTGTTTAGTGTGCTAAAATCGGATGTAATTATAAACTGTTGAAATTAACAAAATGAAATAAATCTTTGACAAAATAATGAATGTATGAATGTGAAAAATTTAATAATTAGCTGAGTTTAAACAAATGAGTTATACAAGGGTAAAGATGCTTAACCTATTGCGAAAATATGACTATTATTAGAAGATATTATTGGAAATGCGCTTTGATTTGACTTGAGGCTTGTTAATGAAATTTTGAATTAGATTTTAATGCAATTATAATGAACAGTTGAGAAACAGACTATCTGGATGTTCAGTGATGGGAAGTTAAAGCGGATTCGTTCCGCGAGGGAACGACTTGTATGAAGAGACGCTTGTACGAAGGCTTAACAAGTCGTCCCTCGTTTTGATTGCACTTTCGAGATAATCACTTCGGAAACTGTTTATAATGTGAAAATAAGGAAATTATTATAATTCGGTACCTTGTTAAGAAAAGACGGGACGATCTAAAATGAAGAGGCTCTTATAACCCGAAGGCTTAATAGATCGCCCGTTTTGCCTCCCTTGAAATACAATTTGACAGTGCCGTGTTCGAGAAATAGAAATGGACAGACTTACCAGGAATATGAATATTTGAATATATGATAAATTGCTTTGATTTCTCTCAATTCAGTCGTAACTGAAAATCTGGAACACCAAGAGAGGATATAGAACTTCGCCACACACGCACTTGTCGTGCGCGGTTGACCGTATTTCTATTGCAAAGACTATGAATAACGAACGATTACAAATTACGCGTTATACGACAATCACGAACAAACTGACAAGGACGTGTTAAAATATATTTGAATTAATACGCGAAAAAGTGAAGTTAAACGAAATCTACGCGAACAATGGGTTAAAATCGAAAGAGAAAAGGATAGAATTTTAAGAGTGTGTAAAAGTTTTGCGTGTGCGTCACTGAGTCCTTATCCCGATACCGATAATTTACACCCTCACGGCACTCTGCCTCGCTACGCGGAGGACTTTGGCGAGCAGAAATTAACGCGATGATCAAAGATAACTCTATCTCTAGACGCACGGGCTCTCGTCACGTACTCAGACGATTGATCGACGAAGAGTGAATTTGTTCGATCAGTGTCCTGCGTGGGGACATCCTGACAAATCGGGGTGTGTAACTGTGACGTTACGTGATTGGTTGAAGACGCGTGCTAGGCGAAGTTCTTTCCCTGGTTTCCTTGATCTTGTCTTCCTTTTCTAACAGTCGTCCATCTCTTTCTAACGGCGTTTCGGTGATTCTACGCAGTACGATTTCCAGACGCCAATCTGGCTTTCCTTGAAGCCAATGTATAATTTCTATATAATTAAATGAAAATACTATGGTTACGGAATTAATGAAAATACTATTTATGTAAATTGAATGATCGGTCAACCAGGCTAAGCAATGACGGTTGGTTCTTTCGGTAATCGCTCGTTTGATTATTAACCCTCGCAGTACGGTAACGGGGTCTCCGGAGATACGTCTAGTGGGAAGAGTGGGGACGTTTGCGTGTGGTTGTAGCGAAGTGCCAATGATATTTCGTTCGCTTCATCGCGGTGGGGGGCGATCGTCAGTTGCGCTTTCTTTGTCTTTCGTTTTTCTTAGTAGACTGAAGCTTCGCGTTCTTCCGAAAGGAAGTATAAGCTATTTAGTTTCTACGCTTTGAAGAGGTAATACGTATGTACGAGGTAGTGAAATCGTTTATTTTTTACAATTTATTTATCATCAAGAAATCAGGACAGTATGTATGTAATAACGAAATGCTTTTTGAGAAGAAAAGAAGAACTTGACTTTTCTCGTCCGGGAAAGTCTTTGGTTATCTTGAAACCTACTCAAGGGTCCTACGGCTAATTTTATGACGGATATGGCGCGGTATTACCAGGACCCACCGCTGTTGGGTCCATCATATT